GAGGGGAAGGTATACTACCCGCCCCGTGGGTTCTTCGAAATACTAATCTTACCCTTTGATCTGGGGGTTTAGCTCAAATGGTAGAGCGCTCGCTTTGCATGCGAGAGGCACCGGGCTCGATACCCGGATTCTCCACATTTCTCTCTACTCGTCTGGGTTCTTCCATCGTTAATCAGTGTACCGTGTACAGGGTCGCTCCCTACGATGAAAAACTCGGCTCCGCGGACTTCATCCACGCTCATATCCTAGTGGCGACATCTTTTCATCTGATCAGTCGATGACTATTCCGGATTTTTTATTACATCTCTCACCTAGTATAGATACGGTCGAGGCGTGGTACTATAATCGTGCTGACATGGAAAAATATTATGAGGTGTGCTACGTTTGCACTGCGGCACCGCTGCCAGAAATATTGCTGTGGAACCCACACTGGTAGGCCCTGCAGTTTCACAAACCTCTGAAATCGTGTAGTAAGCTGCTCCGCCCCACAAGAACGTGCTGCTTCAGCCTCGCCCAACGCCAACTGCGCATAAATTTCGCCCATTCGCCTTATTCACAAGGTTAGTGGTGGACATCTGGTAAGCATTAAGGAGAGTTTTACATCCCGAAATTAGACAACTTGTCGACGAAAAGCTAATTTCATTCACAAGATCACAGATTATCGATTGTTATTTAAAGTTGCCTCGGAATAGACTCCGGTCCGCCACACTCAGCAATTCGTGCATGGCTAAGGCGACAGTGGAGTCGGAGCATGATCAGAGACCCAAGCCACCGACCCGCCATTGAAATATGGTCGTAACGTTCTTGCTCACAATAGTAACGTATAAGCTGATAAACTTAGATTCTGCACTAGATCATAGCTCCAAGGCAGAGGAGGCAGTAATCTTCAGGGTGTGCCAAGTAGAGACGCAGGCAAGCTTTTAGGGTAGTAGAAGTGTTGGAAACCCGAAACCCGAAAATTCAACCGGGATTTTTCCCATTTTACCCACTTCCCTTTCACTTGTCCCCTTCTAAGGGGACAGTATTGGTTGATGGAGCCAACTACACCCGTGATCTATGATGGAAGTCCTCAAGCACTAGGTTCTGACGTATATCTCTCAAAAAGGCGAAAAATCCGCTAGAAGTGAAATATTTGAAATTCCATTACATTGAATTTCAGCATTCCATAACCGAAAGTTTGCACACCTTGTCTGAGGCTATTTTTGTTCTTCATAAGATCAATACCTGCGGGTGGGTTGACTATATCACCGCCAGAAAATACGCCCTAGTAGTACAATCAGGCTGCAGGAGCACGCAATAGGTCCTATCGGATAGGTAGATCAATGCCGGTGGTACGACTGGAGTATTTTTTACTTCAACCGGGATTTTTCCCATTTTACCCACTTCCCTTTCACTTGTCTCCTTCTAAGGGGACAGTATTGGTTTGTTCGATGAAGCCAGTTTCCACTAAAGACACTGGTCAGAGAAGGGCGATAGCCCTTGAGGAGGTGGATCCACCCCTCTCTGCGAGACGTGCCTCCAGCTCGGGGATAACCCTCCCACTAAGGGGGGGTATCCGTCCCAGTGATGATGGAAATGTGGTATCGAAAGGACCACAGCAATTTAATCTTGATCAGGATTCCGAGGCCCAGGCTGCTGGCTCGCCAGCGCACAGCCTGGAGAATTGCTGGAATGGTACCATACCGCCGGCTGTTCTCGGTTCAGGTTCTCAGTTCGACTGGGCCTCGGAGGCCCCTTCCGAGAGTGAAGATATAACCATGGAACAACTGGAGAAGGATCTCGACGACTCTCCTCCCAGGGCCTCCGCCGTCCCGCCGCTTCAGCGCGTTAGGAAGCCTCTGAAGTCCTGCCGTGGCGAGGGGCCTCAGGCCTTAGCGACCTACGAGGCTCGTAAGGCAAGGAAGGGCCCTGCCGCTGGCTCTCAGGTACGCCAAGCGGCTCGCGGCTCCAGGGCACGTCAATCGTCCGTTGGCACATCGCACCAAGACGTCGAGCTTCAACCTACTTACGATCTTCCTGACGACTCTGAGCCTTCCCCTCGAGATCACTCTACCGGTCCTCTACCTCCTCCACAAGGTCGGTGCTCCCCGCAAGGGAAGGGCCCTGGGCCGGTTCCGGCGGCAATGGTGCAGATCATTGCGCTCTTGCGCACCCTGATTGGCACCTTGTCGCTGGGCCCCCAAGGGCCGGCCATTATGGCCCTACTAGACTCCATTGTGGAGCTGGTAGAGGCCGGCCAGACGACTCTGCCGGGCCCCCTTTCGGCTCCGGTAAGTCGTGCCTCTGCGGCATCTCAGGTACCCCAGGTACCGCAGGTGTCCGCTGACGGCTTTACGACCGTCACGAGACGGCGTCGGGGTCGCAAGGCGCAGAATGCTGCCCCACCGGGTGGGGCCCACCCAGACCCGGCCCTCCAGGGCCATCTCAGGTACCCCAGGCGACTCGTCAGCCGCAGCCTGCCACCCAACAGCAGCGGCAGCAGCAGCAACCCAGGCGCCAACCACCGGCTCCACGCCGCCAACCCCCGCGCCCTGCTCCACAACAGCAGCAGCAGCGTCCTCCTGCTCCCCGCCGTCAACAGGCCCCCACCATCGGCAATCGCCGCAACCCTCACGTGGCAGCGGCGAAGAAGGCGGCGGCCGGCGGCGAGAAGCCTGTGATCATCATCCGGCCATCGGGCCCTAACCCTCCAGCTCCTCTCTCCAAAGAGGAGTTTAGTAAGCTCAGGGTCTCTGCTCTTCAGGCACTTCCCGACCACGTGACAATCACCGGTACATTCCCGGTGGGACGCTCGTCCCTCGGGATGTCGGTCAAAGACCGTGGGCATCTGCCCGCGGTTTTGGCCAACTTAGGTACAAAACTCCGTGGATATGAAGTTGCTCCTAAGCAGAGCAGGGCGCCTCGAGTGATTCTCTTCTCTCCTGCCCTATCCAGGGACGTCTCTGCCACGGCCTTGGAGCGACAGCTGAAGGAGGAGAATGAGGGCCTCATCGGCCAAGGAGCGACGGGGCCTGCCGTGCAAAACCTGCACTGGCGTGGCCCCAACCTAGTGATGGCGGTCTCTTCCGACTTTTTCAGGTCCTTGGAAGCCAGCGGGCAAAAGGTGAAACTAAATCGCCTTTTGACCCGCTGGCAGTTAGCAGCAGACTACACAGTCTGCTTCTTTTGCAGCCGACTGGGACACATCTCGGCCAGCTGCACTTCAAGGCAGCAAAAGCTGCCTGAGTGCTGCACGAGATGCAGCGGCCCCCATGCGAGGTCCGCCTGCAGCTCGGCCCAAGAGCGGTGCCGCAACTGCTGCGATTTCAACGAGGCCCAAGCCCGGGCTGGTCGCCCTCACCGCAGGGAGACCAACCATCAGGCGACCAATCCGGGCTGCCCTTCCGTCGAGGCACACTGCCGACGGATGGCGGCAAGGACCAACTACGGCCCGGCCCCTGTGGCTCAGCGCTCGCAGCAATGCTAGAGCTGCTGCAGCTCAACCTGGGCAAGCGGCGAGCAGCCGCCGATCTGATTTGCTCCTTAGGAGCAGATATAATTTTAGGCCAGGAGTTCCCCAAGCAGTTTTCGCCTACAACCTACAGCTACCATGGCAACAAAGAAGGCACTGCTATCCTGCTGAAGAACGGCTTATCTGGCACCACCTTGGTGGCTGCCAGAGACTTCTGCACCGTTAAGGTGCGAAGCTCGTCTAGTACTATCATCGTAGGTTCCCTCTACCTTCACCCCTCCGACCTACCTCGTCGGGAGATGGCCCTTCAGCATCTGGAGGATGCTGTCTCCTCGGACGTTGGCCGAGGGATGATTTTAGGTGCGGACTGCAACGGAGCCTCAGATCTCTGGGGTTCCCTGCCTCCCGCAAGGGTCCACCTACAGACCCTGGGCCAACTCGGCCCCAGCTGGCAGCGTGGAGAGGAGTTCCAGACGTGCTGCCAGCAGCACCGAGGAACCATCCTCAACAGGCCAGACCTATTCCCGGCCCCCACCTTTGTGGGTGGAAATGGCTCATCACACATTGACGTGACGGTCGCCTTCGGCAGAGTCCCTCCACATGAGTGGAAACTCTCCGAAGAGTTCTCAGGTAGTGACCACAGGATAATTCGGGTGTCTTTACAGGACACTCACGAGTATACCAAGCGACCACAGCTGCGTCTCACCGACTTCAAGAAGGTTCGAGAAGCAGCAGCTGGCATCCCGGACAACTCGTCTGCGGCGACCATCTCGGCAGGTCTTTCAGATGCTGTCGCTGCCCACACCCCCGTCATGGAGGGTCGCGACTCCCCTTCGTGGTGGAGTCGCAAGCTGACGAAGCTGAAGCAGAGCCTCAACAAGGCTACCAAGAAGCTGAACAAGGCAAAGAGGGATGGCAACCTCATCGGAACCGAGCACTGGAAAGAAGAGGTAACCGAAAGGAGAAGACTTTTCAGGTTAGAAGCCCGAGCAGCTAAGAAGAGAGCGAGGGACCGCTTCTATGCGTCCCTCCAAGACTTCTCCAAGTGCATCCGACCGCCAAAGAGCAAGACAGCAGCAGCGATTCTGAATGGCGATCCAAGCACCAACCAAGCAGCCCATCTGCTGGAGAAGCTATTCCCTCGGGACCCTAGGCGGTCCCAGGGGATGGCCCAGGTTCGCGTCGGTGTAGGTCCGGCAGATCGCATCCCAGCTGTGACGGAACAGGAGGTCTTAGAAGCCATCGGCCGTCTGAAGATCTCTGCCCCTGGGAGCGACGGCGTCAATGCTGAAGTCCTGAAGAAGACGGCGCCCGAGCTGGCGGCCAAATGGGCCACGGCCTTCACTGACGTCCTTAGGTCCGGCGAGTTTCCTGCCGAATGGAAGGAGGGCAAATGCATTGCCCTGGCCAAGCCCGGCCGCGACATCTTCCAGGCCTCGGGCTGGCGCCCGATCGTACTCCTTAGGTGCGCCTCGAAGCTGCTGGAGTCGGTGATAGCCGAAAGGCTCATCTACGGCCTAGGAGAGAAGTTCCGAGTGCCAGAGATCCACGGCTTCTGCCGAGGCCGAAGCTGCGACACGGCGCTGAAGAGGATCGTCGACGCCTACCGAGCTGGGTGTGGGAGGAAGGGTCACCAGACCCTCCTCCTCACACTGGACGAGTCCAATGCCTTCAATTCAGTAAAGCATTCGTTTCTCGTCCAACAGCTCTCAGGCCTAGGCGTGGCTCTTTTCTCTGCACCGTGATAAAGTCCTGCTCTCCGGGCAACACGTCCAGCTGGAGTTTGGAGCGGACCAAGCGACCATCTCGCTAGAGAGAGGGGTCCCCCAAGGAAGCATCTTGGGACCCCTCCTCTATGTTTCCCACTCCACCCTATCTTTGGCGTCGCTGCTCCGGCCCATCCCTGGCCTAACCTCGACTTTCTATGCCGATGATAAGACCTTGGTCCTGACGACCAAGGGCGTCCGAGAGTTTAGGGAGCGATGGCTGCAGATCGAGACTCGGATCTCGGACTGGTCAAGAGCCTCCGGGCTCAGCCTCAACCCCAGTAAGTGTTATTACCTCTCGCCTGCAAAGCTTCAGGTATCTGCGTTAATGCTCGATGGTAAGGCCATCGGCCGCGCCAAGGTCGTCACCATCCTAGGCCTGGCGGTGGACCAGCGATTGCTCTTCGGGGAGCACATCAAGCGAAAGACGGCCCAAGCTCGCTCCCGCCTAGGGCGATTGCACGCCCTGGGTTGGGAACGGGCTGGGCTCGACACCAAGCGGATACTGAAGACCTACCAGCTGGCCGTGCTGCCCTTCCTCGGGCACGCGGTCAGCATCTGGGCGGAAGCACTGGAGGACCCGAAGCTGGCAAAAGCCGTCGATAGCGTGTCCGGCCTGGCAGCGAGAATAGCTATTCGGGCCCCTCGCTCGGCTTCCCACGCCGCGGCGATGATGATGGCTGGCGTCACCCCGGCTAGCATTCAACTGAGAATGCTGGCAGGGAGATGCCGCGCCACCACAGGTACTCCCAGCGATCTAGCAGCGGCCCTTGGGCCTGAGGCGGCGGAGTCGTCATGGCGAGTGGACCGGCGAGAGACCCATCCTCTCCCACCGTGGCTCCCCTCCCTCCCCGCCTCCATCCGCCCCAGAGAAGAAGCGGTCGAACTGGCATCCGCCTACCGAGGCCCCGCTATCTACACGGATGGCTCAAAGTTCGGCGATAGCGCCGGCGGGGCCTTCCTGGCTGTCAAAGAAGGAGAAGTGGTGGAGCGCCAGGCCTTCAAGCTTGAGCGGTTCGCCACCATTCACCAATGCGAGTTAGAAGCCATCCGCAGAGCCCTGCGATGGCTGAGCCACTCGGCTCACAGAGGTATAGAATGGCTTCTCTTCACAGACTCTCAGGCCTCCATCCGCACGATCCGAGGCCGAGAAGCCACCGAGAGATCGGCCATCGCTCGTGACATCGCCCATCTCGGCCTACACGTCCAGGTGCAGCTGAACTGGTGCCCGGGCCATGAAGGAGTACAATGGAACGAAGCAGTGGACCAGCTGGCCAACACCGGCCGGAAGCAGCTCTTCCCCCTGGACCGGGGTGCTGCTATGATGGTTCCTCCTTCCTATGTGAAGCACATGCTCAAGACCCAGATGGAGAAGGACACAAGGTCCTGGTGGCTTGACAAGCGAGCCACTCTGGGCACCAGCGTACGGGACTTCCTTTGGGGATTTTCCCACGCCAGGAGATTTTTGAAGGCTGGTAAGTCATCACCCGAGCTCTCTGCCTTAATTTTAGGACACGCCCCCACACCCCACCACCGCCACACGATGGGGCTAAGGACAGACCCGAGCTGCCCATGTGGGCATGCAGATGGAGACGTCAAGCACATCCTCAGAGACTGTCCTCTGCTGGATGGCGCGAGACGAGACTCCAGGCTGCTCCAGGTGATGCCCAAGTACGACTACAAATTAGTCCTCGATCGACGGTATCGAGCGCCACTTCTGAAGATGGCAAAGATGACCTTCGAGTGGCTGAAGAATCTCCGAGAAGCGGAGAACTCCTCTCAGCCATAAGAGGACCCCTTAGTGCGGACTTGCATCAGCGCCTCGCTGGTGCCTGCCTAGCGGCTCAGCTACTACCATAACCACTACAACTACTACTCCCAGCGACCAAGGCCTACGACGCGCGGCGATAGTCGGAGGCAGCGCGACGCTGTGGCACCTCAGGAAAGGGGCAGCAGCAGTGTAATCTGTGGAAGGCTGTTTCACGTGTGTGGATAGTTAGGCTCCTCCGTCGCTTGAAGCTCTGCGGTGACTCCCTTTCTGGGCCTCTGACTTGATGCTGACTCCCTTAAGGCCGGACCGTGCCGGTGGCGTGGCAAGCTCCACACCGGATCGCCTTGGCATACCCTCCGGGATGTCTCTTTGAGCCAGGCGATGGGGGCAGGTGGTTGGTTGGACACCCCCCGCGGATCCGAAACGTCATGAGAACGCGATCTCGATTGTCGCGGATGGCACACCCCTGATGTCTTGCCCACACAGGAGGTCGATCGCCAAGTGCCTTGAGTGCACGGCTCGGGTTGCGACTAATGCACCCATGTCCCAAGAGCCACCAAACAATGAAAAGAGAGCTTAGCTCCACCCCTCGCCATCTTTAGAGTTGGGAGGGGCCCCAGGGACCGAGCACCCCGATGCATGCCGGCCCAGATCTCTCAAATGGATCGGGCCCTCCTCGCGCACCCTCCGGGATGTCGACTGGCGCAGGAGTGGTGGGAATCCAATACTAGGATCCCCCGGCACCTGGGTTGTCTCCTCATGACGTTAACTAGTGGTGATCACACCACAGTGCCGCCCCATCAATGGAGTCTAGCTGAGAGTCAAGCCTGGAAAGGAGTAGCCAAGGAGTGGATGGCCCGGAGGACCGAAGCTTGAAGCCAGGGAGGCAGCACAGAAGCAGTGACCACCAATGCTGTCCCCTTACCTCGAGTTGGCTCGGTGAGCCGTAAAACGCCCAGCGGTCCGCCTGCCGAAGACCGACCCAAGCGAGTAGAGCGGCGGCCAGCTGATGAAGTCTGACCGCTCAGCACTTGCCCCGGCTCGCAGAATAAGACAGATTAAGACGATTTGTTGTTTTGCATGGCTGGGTGTATCATGTTATTGTGATAATTGACTCTTTCCGAAAACTACACCCGTGATCTATGATGAGAGTCCTCAAGCACTAGGTTCTGACGTATATCTCTCAAAAAGGCGAAAAATCCGCTAAAAGTGAAATATTTCACTGAAATTTTTTCCGTGAAATATTTAACTGAAACATTCTTGAAATATTTCCCTATGAAATATTTCAGCCACCCTGGCGCCACCGTTTGACCCTAGTTCTCTCTGCTTTGACTTCGCGCTCGCATGCTCCTATGGCCGCGCTGCGGAGCTAATTTACAACGGAGTTGGCGAGGCAAGTTCTCGTGATTCGTGAGCCGGACTTTAGCGTGGTCGAATCTAAGTCACGCGAGCTGTACTACCTGCTTCTAGTCTAGTATTACGGTCATAGTATTACGAGTCGCTCTATGTGGTAGACTAAACTTTGATATATTTGTGTTCGATAGTTGCGGATAGATAACAAACACAATGCGTGTGAGCTTTCTCGGCCCCTCAGGATTCGACCAGGCGATGACATTCTATTTCGCTCGCTTCCTTCTGCTCGCGTTAGTCCACGCAGAGCTTATTCTAAGGTTGCCAATCTCACTAGATGTATATGATCCTGGTAGAGCAGATCTTTATCTCATCGCCGACATCACTGTTGACGCTATGAGTTTCCGACAATTGGTTGATACAGGATCTCCTCTAACGTTCTTCATTTGGCGCAAATGGTACGAAAGTGTCAAGCCCGGTGGGTGTGAAACTATTCCTTCCAAATGTTATGCGTGCCTTCCCGAGTGCACTCCTGGGCCCACAAAAGTCTTCACCTTCGCCGACGGTTCGAAAGTCACATTGTTTGAGCATTCGGGAACAGTTAATTTTGGAGGGGAGGAGGTGGAGAACATCGACTTCGGTCTGATGGCGGGTTTCACTTCTGATGGTTCGCTCCCTACGTCAATACTTGGACTCGGGTACGCTAATAAAGGCACGGCACCTTACGTACCGTTAATCAAGCAATTGGTGAACAAACCGAAGGCTCAGAGGCCCATATGGAAGAACATGTTCTCTGTGTATCTCAACTCTGCAGCTAAACCCGCTGGGGAACTCCTCCTCGGCGGGCAAGATACTATAAAGTATGTCGGGCCGATGGTATTCGTCCCAAGTGCGAAGGATGAATGGGATGTGGAACTTATCGGAATGAAAGTGGGATCAAAAGGGGTCAAGTTTGGGAAGCCCAAGCCTGCTTATATCGACACTGGCGCCAGTGCCATTTTTATGTCCAAACCTTACAGAGATAAAATTCTGGAGTATCTCCAGTCTACTGCGACCAAGCCTGTCAAGTTCAAGCCTTACTCATTTTCAGTTGAGGTCAATTGCGCTGATCGCCAAAGCCTCCAGCCGGTGACACTGCTGATGAAGGGTGTTGGTGGACAGGGTGTTTTCCTGGAGATCCCGCAAGAGCAATATATCAGGGTCCATGATCGCCACTGCTTACTGCTATTCGCTGTGAGCCCCATTGATCACTGGGCCATTGGCAACCTCGTCCTTCCTGGGCGCTACTTGCTCTTCGACCAGCAAAATAATAAGATAGGTTTTGCTAAGACGAAATAGTGTACTCTATTCTCCGTCAGCGATTATTCAGAGGTGATTTCATTGTATTCTTTAACGGTTAAAGATTCGGTTAGGGTTAAAGTTTAATCTGTATTCAACATTAATACACCTTTTAAAGGCCTATTTCGCGTTTAGTAAGACCAATTTCGCAGGGCGAGCAATCATCTGAATGATTATATTATAATACCGTATATGGTCAACGATAAAGCGCAGAGGAGACCCAGTTGAGATCCAGAATGTAGCTATAGGTCAACAAATGAGGAACTTAGCAACACCATTAATATGGTGCGTACACATCACCGATGGAATTCTGAGACGAAAACTAAGATCGAGAGCACTACCATGTTTCACTACTCAGGCAACTACATGCAAAAATGAGAATGGAAAAAAGGCAGGCACACGCAGTGGCTCGCGCATAGATCAATACATCAACGAGGTTCGTGGCACGAGCCAGAGATATTATCACACTTGGCAGGATTGATTGGCCGGATCGGATGTGCGAGGCGGCAGATTGGATACAGATGGGTTGGAATGCGAGCCATCCGGGGGTCTCAACTGCGCACGCTGTTCCATCATCTTTAGCTCCATCCTCTTATTTCGACGCTGCTTAGCGGCGTTCCTAGTACTCGCCTAGGAGGAGATTGCATGGTGTAACTGTAACCCTCGTCATTCATCGACCTCCCCGACTTCTTGCTTCAAGGAGGCCATTAGGTCGTGATACATAAGACCTCCTTCGTATACATGCGAAATGAGGTTCCTCCGTGGGAGCCTCCAATGTTCCACGAAGTCGTACCAATAAACGACGGATTGTCCCACGCGGTAAGGCATATACAAATAAAAAATTACGAGCTACAAACGAGGAGGGAAACAGTCGTTCACGCTCTCAAGCTATGGGCTAGTTTTCCATTGTCTCTGGACAATGCTCCTCAATATTTCTCCTCCGGGCGTGCGATTTTCGTGTCTGGACGGAAAATGGATTGTGTATACGTCTGAAAATGGATATTTTCATGCTGTAAACCACCCAGTTTCCGACCACGTTTCTCCAGTTCGGATGGTCTACCGGGTAGACTCTACTCGGAGTCGGGTTTAGTCCGAGTCTCGGACTAAACCCGAACCGATCCCAAAGCTTGGAACCTAACTATTATCTTAATAGAAGTGAAGCACAAGTCACTCTGTACGTCTTTTGGACTGAGAAGTATTGCAAGCGCTGTTAGGACAACTATACTGACGCATTGGCCTTTTCATCGTAAGGTCCTTACATATCCTGGATATGTAGGTGAAGTGAGAGAGACATAGCGGTTACATCGACA